TAGATTAGTATTGCATACCTAACCTATTCCACTGATCTACCACTCTATTTCTTAGCCAGTACCAAGTAGTTTTGATGATTGCTGCTTTATAATACAATTTAAGATCTGGTACAGCTAGGCCACCTTCCCTTGCATTTCTTTTCATTAGTTTAGGGTGGCACATGGAAGAGAAAGATGAGGTCTGGAAAATCTGCCTTGCCCACATTTCTAAATTGGGGTGGGGGTAGGGTAGAGAAAAGAGCAAATGATCCTTTAGCTTTCCACTTTTCACCCTAAACCTCCAAACCTTGCCAGATACTGACACCTGCTGGTGGTACAAATAATTATTTTTGCACATTTCCCTAGTCCCAGCCAAAGATTGCAAAGGCTGCTTTCTGCTCCCAGGTAGTCAGCAAATTGTAGAGAAGGGAAACAAATCAAGTCAACAAGCATTTATTAAGCACCTACTGTGTATCAGGCACCATGTTAAGCACTGGGGATACAAAGAAAGAAGAAAAAACAGTCGTTACTCTCAGGGATCCCATAGTCTAATGAGACCACATACAGATAACTATGTACAAACAAGTTTTATACAAGATAAATTGGAGATAATCTCAAAGGGAAGACATTAGAGTTAAGAGGGGTCCAGAAAGGTTTCTTGCAGAAGGCAGAATCTTAGCTGAGACTTAAAGAAATTCAGGGAAGCCAGGAGGCAGAGGTGAAGAGGGAGCTGAAATGTAGGGAGTCAGGAGATGGGTTGTCTTATACGAGGAATATTGAGGAAGTCAGTGTCACTGGATCACAGAGTACATAGAAGGGGGTAAGATAGAAGAAGTCTCAAAAGGTAGGAAGGGCTTTAAGAAGCCAAACGGAGGGTTTAACATGTCATCCTGGAGTTAGTAAGGAGCCGCTGGTGTTTATTGAATGGAGAAAATGAAGGGAAGCCAAAATGGTCAGACCTGTGATTTAGAAAGATCAATTTGATGGCTGAAATCCGACTTGTTACCAAGGCCTGTTGATTGTGCCTCCTAGCGCCTCTCCTGTTCTCTCCCATCTCCACCTCTTGGCTGCCTTAGATTCCTTCAAGTCCCAACTAAAATCCCATCTTCTGTAGGGATCCCTTCCCAATTCCCCTTAATTCTAGTGCTTCCCTTCAGTTGATTTCCAGTTTATCATGCCTATAGCTTGTTTGTACATAGCGGTTTGCATGTCATCTCCACATTAGACTGTAAGCTTCTTGAAAGCAAGAACTGTCTTTACCTTTCTTTAAAAAAAACAAACCATGGTTTCACAGTGCCTGTAATGTCAATCAATCAACAATCAATCCATAAATATTTATTACGTGCCTACTATGTGTCAGGAACTTCAGTGCTAAGCACTGAAGATACAAAAAGAGGCAAAAGAGAGTCCCTGCCCTCAAGGAGCTTGCAGTCTAATGAGGAGACAACATGCAAACAAATGTATACAAAGCAAGCTATGTACAGGACAAAGAGGAAATAATTAACAGAGGAAAGGTACTGGAATTAAGAAGGGTTGGGGAAGGCTTCCTGTATTAGGTGGATTTTAATTGAGAGCTAAAGGAAGCCAGGGAGGTCAGTAGTCAGAGTAAAGGAGAGAGAGCATTCCAGGCATGAGGGACGGCCAGAGAAAATGGCAGGAGCCAAAAGATGGGGTGTCTCATTGGTGGAACAGCCAAGAGGCTGGGGTCACTGGATTGAAGAGTAAGGTGTAAGACTGGGAGGCAGGAGGGAGCAAGTAATGAAGGGCCCTGAATGGCAAACAGCATGTTGTATTTTGCTCCTGGAGGCCATAGAAAGCCACTGGAGTTTATTGAGTAGGAAGGTGACATAGTCGGACCTGGGCTGTAAGAAAATCACTTTAGTGGCTGAATAAAGGATGGATTGGAATGAGGAGAAACTTGAGGCAGGCAGACCCACCAGCAGGCTACTTCACTAGTCCAGGAGTAAGGTTATGAAGGCCTATACCATGGTCACGGCAGCGTCAAAGGAGAGGTGTTATGAAGGGAGAATCACCACAATTTGACAACTGATTAGATATTGGGGGTGGGGGAGGTGGGATGGAGATGAGAATGAAGCTGAAACCTAGTTGTGAGCTTGGTTGATTGAGAAGATGGTGGAGCCCTCCACAGTAAGAGGGAAGTGGGGGGAGGGGTTTGGGGGAAATATAATGAGTTCAATTTTGGACATGTTTATTTTAATTGCTTTAAGTTTAATTGATGCCTTCTTTCTATATGACAAACATTTACAGATTACTCCCACTTCGTAAATGATCTCTCATAACAAATTAAAACAGTTAAGTAAAATTAATAATAGAATGATCTCATCTGAAAAGGCATGCAGCATTTCACATCTGTAACCTTCCCTATCTACTGATTTTAATTAAGAGAAATTCTGCCTCATTGGACAAAGGAGGAAAGAAAAATTACTTGTAATCCATATGTGTAGTCAAGGAAATCACATTCCCTTGATTGTTGTATGCAAAAGCGTATGTCTCGTGCCTTCTGAATCTATCCCACTGTCACAGATGGCACGTTTCATTATTGGTCCTCTGAAATCACTGACAGCCATTGTGTTACTCATAGCTCTTACAGCTTTCAGAGTTGTTTGTTTCTATACTGTTACTGTTATTGTACAGACTGTGCTCCTGGTTCTGCTCAGAATTCGTTCTTCATCAGTTTATAAAATCCTCAAAATTCTTCACTGTTATGACATTGACGTCACAGCATAAATTGTTCTGAATCTGCTCACTTCACTCCGTATGATGTCATAAAAGTCTTCCCATGCTTTTTTGAAATCACTTCTTTCCTTATTTCTTATAGCACAGTAGTATACTCCATCATATTCACAGACCACACTCATTAGGCCATTCCTCAATTAATGGGCTTCCCTTTAGTTTCCAGGTTTGGGGTTTTTTGCCACCACGGAAAGGTGCTATAAATATTTTGTACACAAAGGATCCTTTGTTCTCTTTTGGGTGTAGGCCTAGGATTGTCATAGCTGGGTCAAAGGACATGCACTTTGTGTATCATCCCAAATTACTATTCCAATTCAAAATATCCAGTGGGCAGCTGGAAACATGAGACCAGAGGACAGGGTTAGATAAATAGATTGAGAGTTTTCACCATAGAGATGATAATTGTGTCATGGGTACTGAGATCATCAAATAAAATAGGAGAGAAGGAGAAGAGAAAAGGACCAAGGATAGAACCTTGGGTGGCACCCACAGTTACCAGGTGCAGCCTAAATGAAGAGACAGCAAATGTGACCAAGAAGGAGTGGTCAGACAGATAGGAGAACCAGGAGAGAGTAGTGCCCTAGGAACTTAGAGAGAAGAAAACATTCAGGAGAGATGAGGGTGATCAGCAGAGCCAAAGACTGCAGAGAGGTCAGGAAGGATGCGGATTGAGAAAAGATTCATTAGACATGGCGATTAAGAAGTCATTGGTAACTTCAGAGAGTGCAATTTTGGTGGAATGATGAGGGTGGAAGCCAGGCTGCCCAGAGTTAAGAAGACATGAAAGGAAGTAGAGGCATCAACTATGATGGCCTTCTCAAGATGGTTAGCCATAAAAGGCAGGAGAGATGGGGGATGCTAGCTATGGGGGATGGATGGGTCATGTGAGGGTTTTTGTGAGGATGGAAGAAACAGAGGCACGTTTGTAGGCAGTAGGGAAGTCGCCAATAGACAGGGAGAGACCTAAGATGAATGAGAGGGTGAGGATGATAGAGGGCAAGCCATTTGATATAGATGACATGTGTGAAGTCCTACAAAACATGTTTCCACATCAGCCATGTTGCAAAAGAAAACACAGACCAAAAAAAAAAAGTTTAAAAATTATGCTTCGATCTGTATTCAAATTCCGTCAGTTCTTTGTCTGGAGATGGATAACATTTTTCACCATGAGTCCTTCAGAACCACGTCCTTCTTAAACCTTGGTACCCAGGGCTAAGCACAGAACCCCACATAGGGCTGGAGGAGGGCAGAATACAGAATCCCCAGGTCTGTTCGCTTTGCCTCTTCCAGTGCCTTGGCTAGCACACTGCTGACTCAGTAATTAAGAGACCCAGAATTCAAATCAGGGTCTTCTGACTCTAGACTTAATACTCCAGCCACTGTTTTCTGCACCCTCCTGATCTTCCTCACTCCTCACTCCTCCTCCTCCTCCTCCCCCCCTTTGTCCCCCTTTCCTCATCCCTACCCCCCAAAAAGCAAGAAAGAAATGACAGTCTGTGTGACAAACATAAAATAATAAATGTTTTATTTGTGTCACCCGCAAAAAGCAAATACACTTTTATATAAAGTTACTTAAGGCATAGGACAGTAATCATCGTATCATCAGCATCTTTTAGTGAATATATGATAGAGTAAGGGGACATTTAAAAGTCGCATACATTGGTGATTACATATAACATTATACAAACTACTTAATTATAGCAGCCTCAAGATTTCCTTGTTTCTTTAACTAGTCAACTAGCAGCAAACTTAATTATATATATACAAAGCTATCATTGCAAACATTCAGTAGATGTTTCCCTCCACGGTTTGAGTCATACCAGAATTTTTATCACATTAACAAAAACAGGCTGGGATCCCTGTTGCTGGGGAGAATGAGGATGGTGGATTGCTTGAGCTCAGGAGTTTTGAGCTACAGAAGGGTGAAAGCCAATTGGGTGTCTCTACTAAGTCCAGGGCCTCCAGGCTGTCTAAGGAAGGGCGAACCGGCCTGGGCTGAAGTCGTAGAGTAGGATTGGCCACTGCAATTCTAACCTAACTAAGATAGGAAGACCCAGTCTCAAAAAAAAATCTATTTCTATATAATGAAGGTCTTACAAAAAATAAAAAGTTGAAAAGTCTAAGTATATAAAAATGGCAAAGGACCAGGTATCTTAACCAATGGGTGTTGGGTTTGAATTTTATTTTATTTTTTGTCTGTTGGTTTCAGGAAAGACACGGTATATTGATTTTTCTGTTTTGTTTTGTTTTATGGTTTACAAATTCAGATGAAAAATGCATGGAAGTTTCCAGGAGGTTTGTCAGAGCCTGGAGAGGATATTGGTATGTGTCTTGTTCTATTTTTAATGGCCTAGAATGAGCTAAGGAAATCCAAGAAGTAACCATCCAGTCTGCTTAGCTAGTAAATAGGATTTGAAAGATGATGGAGAAGTTAGCTCTGGGTTAGATGTAAAAGAAAGGGCAAATTCTGTTGAATCCAATAACCATCGATTAATTTCCCACAGTGTGCCAAGCTCTGCCGAATTCTCCAGAAATACAAAAGCAAAATCATAACAGTCCCTGTCCTCAGAGCTGAGGCTGTGTGGCTTAGTGAATAAGGCCCTGGACTTGGAGTCAAAAGGACCTGGGTTTCAATTTCAGATGCTAACTAGATGTATGGACCCAGAGCAAATCACTTAACTTCTCTGGGTGCCTCAGTTTCCTCATCTGCAAAATGGGAGGCTTAGATTCAATGACCCCTAAGACTCCTTCCTGTTCTAAATCCAAAATCCTAGGATATTAAACTTAATCAGTTTGCCTAATCCATGGTCCATTTGGAGCATATTTATTTATTTATTCATATTTTTTCACCTAGTATGGTTCAGATCCACCCAACCGAAAGTGGCCCATAAAAGAATCCTGAGGAACTTGAGAGATGGTCAGGAAATAGAGGCACAGCCATCAGTAAAGTCTAGATAGGCATATGTAATCTGGCATTTAGATAGGCATGCAGACCTACCTACGAGAGAATACAACCCTTCCCTCAGAAGTCAGAGATGGGGAAATTGGTCTAACTCAGCTCCCGTTGTGTGCCAGGCATCAGGTAAAACATGCCTGATGCCAGTAACCTCTAGAGCAGTGGACGGTGGACTCCTGAAGAAAGATGGCTGCTCAGAGGGGCAGTTAGGTGATAGAGCTCCAGCCTTGGAGTCAGGAGGACCTGAGTTCAAATCTGGCCCCAGACACATAACACTCACTAGCTGTGTGACCCTGGGCAAGTCACTTAACCCCATTGTCTAGCCAAAAAAAAAAAAAAAGATGGCTACTCAGAGATGATCAGTCACCAAGACCAGGGCCACTTGGTGGTGTCAGGCCTGGAGCTAAAATCCTAGTTAGAATACGTTGGTGGAAAATTGGAGGGATCCATTTGGTATTATTTCCCTCAAGACTAAACATTCCAACCTCAATTTATACAAGTTCCTAAAACTGATTTCATTTGAAAAACTTCTTTCTTCATCACTCCTCCAATACCAACGTGTCACCCAGATAGACTCATCCTTAATCTATTACCATGACCAGCTCTCAATGACCTGCAAGCAGGAGGGTTTACAAGGAGCAATTTGGGTTTTCAGGTTCTTAAAATCCTTTGTTAATATAAAAGGGATATCTGGCCTGCAGCAGGCTCAGGGAGGATTCTGCTACCAACACTCTTAGTTGGCCCCAAGTCAACCCTAGGAAAGTAATGAACAAGGCAGGCCAAGAGATCCCCTCTGCTCGGGACCGTTCCTTTGGGTCATTCAGAGTGAACTGGTACAGAGCTCTAGAAAGGAGGCCTAGAATGCATCCTCCGTGTTCTGCCTCTGTATGGCATGTCACCTGTGTGACTGTGGGAAAGTCACTTTGTCCCTCAGTTTCCTCATCTGCAAAATGAGGGGGTTGGTCTCTTCCATCTCTCGTCTATGATCCTTTGAATTCAACGGAGCTGTGAAGAGCTTTCAAGCTTCTCCTATCTAGATAGAGCAGGCACGTGGTTTTATCTGGAGTATTATGAATGCCTAGAAGATGATTCGCCATTACCCAAAGAGAAGTACAAAAGTAAGACAAGCAGCCAGTGATTTCTGCATCTTCAATACCCTGCGTCTTCCCATTAGCCCAGATAACTAAGAGCTGGCCACACACGGATCATTATGCCCAACAACTCCCCCACTTAACCCAAAGATTAGGCATCTGTAGGTCTCAAGTTCCTAGAGCAGGGGTCCATAACCTTGTTTGTGCTGGGGACCCCTTAGGTAATCTGGGGACACCTTTGGGTCCCTTCTCTGAATACTGCATAAAATAAAATGCATAGAATGACAGAGGAAACCAGTTACATTGACATAAAAAATGGAATTTTTCCCTTCCAAGTTATCGGACCCCTGAAATCTATCTACAGATAGGTCCATGGACTTCAGCTTAAGAACCCCTAGTCTAGAGTGAAGGAAAAGAAAGCTGTCTGAGAGACACAAAGTTCTCCTAAAGCCAATGCGTGTGGCTTTGTAAGTGAGAGAGTCCACCCTCGGGCCTGTGAAGTCAGGCAGCAGCTCCTGCACAGCAACAAGAACTCATAAGGAGAGCCATGGGAGGAGAGTCTCAAGAGCAGAGCACACAGCCCTCATTAACTCCTAAGACCATCACCGATGGCAAAGAAGTTGACGCTGAGCATCCAAAATAGGTGAGGGAGGTGGTTTAACCTAGGCAGCTACCCCCTTTAAGAAAGCAAAACATATTTTAGGAATATTTCAGTTAGAAAAAAGTTTCTGGCACTTAAAAGGAGAAATTTCAGGGGACCTGGAAAATGTGTTGCCACAGAATGCCCCATTCCCTTGGGCCTCCAAGGATGCTATGTGACAAAACATAAAAGAGGAAACATGGTCTGACCTTGGAACCAGAAAGAGTTGGGTTCAAATCCTGCCCCTAACACTTCCCTCCCAAGGCTCTAGGCAACAGCACTCTAAGACAAAATTACAAAGACCTTTGTTGACTGGTAGAGGGAATCCCCTCTATCTACAAAATTACAGGTCTAGCCCCTATCTCTATACATTGTGTTGGAATATAGTAATAACTGGAAATCAAGTGGAACTCTGATGAGTTAAGGACAAGAAATGCCAAGAGAGTAACCCTAAGGATTTTGTGGTCTCAGAGGTCTCTAGGACCATATCTGGAACCCAGAAGGCCCCAGAGGAGAAAGTGAGGTTGGTGACTTTGTACAGCCCTCCCTTGCTTAAATCCCTTTCACTTGCATGTCACAGCATCACCTCCCTGATGTCATGGTCCTCTTGGAGAATGAAGGACAAACAGCAGGCAAGATTACGAGGCAGCCTCCAGGACAGATCAGACAGAGAATGTCAGTGCACATGAAACAGGGCAAACACATATTCTGCCAAGCCCTTTCCCGATCATTGTTAAATACATATCACAAAACACAAATGACAACAGACATCATTATTTCAGCATCGTCCTATAGAAGGCATACACCTTATATATGCAAAATATATATATGCAAAATAACAACAACATAATAATAATGACAGAAGACAGCTTTCCGTTTGTTCTTCAGACTCCTAAAATGTTCTTTCTGGTTAATTTACAGTACTTTAAAGTAATACAAACAATAGCAGAACAAGAAAATCAAGGAATTTACTTTGAAGCAAAACTGAAATCTGTCCTGTTGTGGGAGAAGTTTTCTCCCATTGGAAGGCATGATGTCCTCGTGTTATCCCAAATGAGTTCCATACTTGTGCACTAGCCATGCATGCTGGACACCCAAACACCTGCTTGTTCTCATTTTCCCAGTCGATTTTATAGACTAAACATTATCATTTTGGTTAAAGAACTGACTCTTGATCATCTGGAATTTTGGTGGTTTAGACGTGCAAGGTCCCCATTGCCCTGGACCCAGGAGTTCTCATCCTCCAGTTATACAAGGGCCAAGGCTATAAATTCAATGCCAGTCTCTCTGGGTAAGAGTAGTAAGAAACAATTATGGCAATGGATTTTGTACCTTTAAAATGCTTTTACAAATAGCTTTGCTTAAAAAAATGTCAAGAGTAGCTTAAGTAGTAATCTATCTCCACAGATATAGATAAAGAGAAGCCAGATCAAAATGAGTGTCATGGCCTCGAATGATAAGGAAAGAAAACTCAGCCACTTTGCTCCTTAAAAAATGAATTGAGTTTTCCAAATTATATTCGGGGGGGGTTTTCCCCTTATTTTTAAGAATGTAATTTCTAAGTATGTCTGGCCTACAGTTAACTCTCAATTATAGCAGTTAATGTAGTGGAACTTACAGGTCCATTTAACAAGTGGGGACCAAATCCTGTAACCTCTTAAGTCCCTTAAATTTCCCCTCTGCCAACATTGCTGAAACAGGAGACCAAGTAATAAGGAAGGCAGGGAGATGGAAAGACAGTTTCCAGGAAGAGCCCACAGGGAGATGCTGGGAAGTGAGACATTTTCTTCCACTCCCTTCCATGCCTGCTTTCCAATAACCTTATTGCTTGACAGCCAGCAACAGTGGAAGCAATTGAAAAAGTATTTTAAAGGAAACCAGATGCCTACAGCCAATGGGAATCAAAGAAAGAGAAGGGGGTTCTGCCACATGCTAGCTGTCATGTTCATTTCCCTTCTCTGTCCCCTTTGTCCTCAGCCATAAAAGGAGGCCCAAGAGCAGCAAACCTCCGAGGACCTTCCTAACACTAGCTCTTAGGGTCCTATGATGGCATCCAAGTAACAGGATTGATTAGTGCTGGGAAGTAGTGTCCAGGGTCCTTGAGTGGTCACCGAAGAGAAGTAGAGACCACAGGGGCAAACCCACCCCAAGAATGTTTGCTTAGAAGAGGTCACTACTGGACTGGACGTGCAGACCAAGGAGGAATTTATGCCCCAGGAGTGAAGTAATCCCATTCAGGCCCTGATGTTATATACCCGCCCGACTTTGGGCAAGTCGCTGACTGTCTAGGGTTGGACCAGACCAGCTCTGGAATTCCTTCTAGCTCAAATCTGGGAGTCTAACAATGAAGTCCACCATATCTACCTTCAATTATTCAAGAAAGGACGTTAGAAAAAAAACAATGTTGTACTTAAAAAGTGCTCATTACTTACGCTGTTACCTAGAAAGAAATCGGAACAGTAAGATAAGTAGTAAATGGAGTGTTTTAGTCTTCGTCGAGTCCATTTGGGTTCCTTGGGATCTTGGGCCTGGGCAAAGATGGGTACATGGTGCGAGGAGGCAGGAGCTGCCATTAACCAAAGACAGAAAGAACGTGAGCTTGCCTACCCAGCAAGGAGACATTCCCCACAGGTCAGAACAGACCCCAGGAGAGAACAATCACTCAACAGTTAAACAGCAGCATTTTGTAGTGGAGAAACAGCACTGAACCAGGAGCTAGCCCTGGCTCACATACGTAACCTCAGACAAATTCCTTCCTCCCTGCGGCCTCAGTTTCCTTATCTGTCAAATAGTGGGGCAAAACAATGCCTCCAAGTTCCTCTCCAGCTTTAAGATTCCATGAGGACCCAAATCCATTCATGAAGGCTGGACAAATTGTATCTTTTTCCCTCATGGTGCAGATGACCCAAGCTTGGATGGGCGTTGGGCACTTTTGTCCACTAAAATAAGTAGCCAGGTTCCCACTCTGTCGTTCCAGATTTGCAGAGGTTGACTCCTCTGGCGATTCCCTAGATCAGCCAGTTCAGAAAAGGATCCCAGTTATACAATCCATTGTAGAAAGTCATTTATAAATCCAAGACAACTCTGAAGGACTTATGATGAAAAATGCTGTCCATCCCCAGAGAAAGAACCAATGTAATCTGAATGCAGATTGAAGCAGACTTTTTTACTTTCTTTATTTTTCTTGGGTTTTTATTTTTATCTCTCTTTTTTTTTTAACATGACTAATATGGAAATAGGTTTTGCATATACACACATATAACCTATATCAAATTGTTTGCCTCCTAAATGAGGGAGGTGGGGAGGGAAGGAGAGAATTTGGAACTGTTTTAAAAATGAATGTTGAAAATTGTACATGTAATTGGGGGGAAAATGAAATATTAAATTTTTTAAAAAAGAAAGTCATTTGTAGGCCTCATCCTTTTCAGGGTGTCCCCAAAGTCTTCCTTCTTGGCCAAGGGCATGTGAGGACTTCATTGGTTGGCATTGGAATGTGGCCTTTGAGGGGGCAGCAGATTGCGGTCCCTTAAAGGACCACGTTGCACAAGGATGTGTCCCCACCAGTGTGATCTGTTGCACATTCTTCCCTTTTCCCCAGGAGACACAGCTATTCGAGAGGTTTTGGAAGAGACTGGCATCAAGTCGGAATTCAAATCCCTCCTGAGTATCAGGCAACAACATGGGGCCCCCAATGCATTCGGGAAGTCGGATATGTACATCATCTGCCGGCTGAGGCCGCTTTCCTTCCACATTAGCTTCTGTCCGCACGAGTGCCTGAAGTGTGAGTGGATGAATCTCACAGACCTCGCGCAAACAGATGACACAACTCCCATCACCCACAAAGTTGCGAATTTGCTGCTTTACGGGCACAGGGAAGGGTTTGAGAAGGTTGACATCGCCATGCAAGAACTCCCCTCTGTCTACGTGGGCCTGTTCTATAAACTCTATCACAGGGAGTTGCCAGAGCTCTATGAAAATATAGCTAGAATGGATTAAAATTCACATTTACAGCCTTTAATAATTTAAAAAGAGTTTCTGGGGCAAATGAATGAATAGTAGACTTAGGAGGAGTGATCACTAGACCTGTTTTTTCTACATTATTTCTTTCAGGATAAATGTGTTTTAAAATGTGCATATCTTTAGAAGTTTCTTTTACAAAGGGAGCCAGAATCAAGAAAAGAGGAGTGCTTCCTTCCCAGGGAGGCTCGCCACGTGTCACAATGGACACATCAGTCACTTAAGCAATCTCCAAGCTTGTTGTATTGCTAGCGTCCCATATTGACACGATGATTTAACTCACCCCTGGTAAATAAAAGCTTACGGTTTGGCCAAAGTCATCCCAAATGGGTAAACAAGCTTGTGTCTTCTTTTTTCCGTCTTCTGCCTCCTTTTGGAATGGAAGAAGAAACCGAGGGCCCCGTGCCAATCAGCTCTTAGCAGACATGGGAAGGAAAAGGATGGCTTTCTGCCCCGGTCCAGTCTTAGAGCCAAGCTTGTACTGCCCTGTGCGTTTCAGTGCCACGTACCAATTGGAATATTTCCTCGAGCGATAAGTATTGTAGTTGTTAGACTCCAGACGTTCAAAGAAGAAACACTCTTCGGTCACACATTTCTGAAAAAAATAAAATGATCCCTATTATTAGTGTTATTAATAACTCACATTTCTGGATACTGTGGGGGTTTACAGAGTGTCACTCTTTCTTCTATCCTAGGAGGTATGGGGGGAAAGCATTCTTACCTCCATTTCCTAGATGAGGAAACTGAGGTCTACAGAGGGAAGGCCCATGTCACACAGCTGGGGAAACACTGGAGCCATATTCAAGCCTAGGTATTTGCTGAAGACAATGCCAGCCTTTCTCATACGGCTGTGTGTGCCACCCCTTCTCCTCTTCCTCTTCTTCCCTAATTCTGAGTGCCTACAGGGGGTCAGCATTGTTTGTTTCTAAGAGGTTGGCCAACAAGCATGGTATTCTTTAAAGGAGACAGCAGATGTTTCTTCTGAGGAGAAAATCCATCTTCTGACTCCTAGTACTGTGTGCTTCTAATAAAAGAATTTCCCGTCACTCAGCCATAGACAATGGGGAACGTGGGAGGAAGAACGAGTTGCTTTCTGGTACCCTCAGGGGTGAAGCCATTCAGCTCTAGGAAAATAATGCTTTTTGTCCTGCCAAATGTGACCTTTGGGGTGACAAAAGAGATTTAGAAAGGAGAGAATTCCCAGCATGGAAGCTTCCCTCCCTCCACCAATGCAGAATAGAAGCAATTGAGTAACTGCTAGGAAGCTAGGTGGTTCAGTAGATAGAGCTCTGGGTCTTGAGTCTGGAAAATCTGAGTTCAAATCTGGCCTCATACACTTCCTAGCTGTGTGACCCTGTGGAAGTCTCTTAACCTCTGTCTGCCTCAGTTTCCTCTTGTGTAAAATGGGGATAATAAAATATAATAGCACCTACCTTAGAAGGTTGCTAGGAGGGTTCAATCAAATGAGATAACACATATGCATTTTGCAAGCCTTAAAATCTTATAAAGATGCTAAGCTATTGTTACCATGGTAATAATAATAATAATAATTATTATTATTATTATTATTATTATTATTATTATTTACCATACAGCAAATTTTATATTAAAATGACTTATCTAAATTTGTACAGACTATACTACTAATGGGAAATGTGTTGGGTCCCTCCTTCCTCCTGCAGTTAAGTATGTAGCATCAGAAGGGATTTCTAGTTCAACCACCTCATTCTATGCATGGGGAAACTGAGGCAAAGAGAGTGACTTGCCCAGAGTCACACAAGCTGGTCAGGAACTGAGCTAGCATGAGAACCTAGGCAGTCTGACTCAAAAGCCAGAACTCTGCTCCACAGGGCTCAGGCCTCAGAAGAACATCCCTTGTTCACAGATACCAGTCTGCAATAATAGACCATGGGCCCACCTCCCCAGGGCAGGTGGCCATACTCAATAAAGAACTCTTTGGGGGACAAGCCCTGGAGGACAGCAGACTTCTTTCTGAATTAAATAACTCAGAAGTCCTGAGTGTCAAAAGCTTACTTCTTCATTTTATCTTTGTTAGTATCACTCTGATGCATGGAAACAGCCAGGAATGTGGAGTCAGAAGACCCAGGTTCAAATTTGCCCCTTACTGTCCACGAGACTATGGACAAGTCACATAATGTCTGAGACAGTGGAGTAGTCATCTTTGCCGTGCCTGCTTCATGTGGTTGTTGCATTGAAAGAAGTCTGACAACCTCACAGAACTGTGTGAATGTGAATGATGATTGAGAATTAGTTATCGTAGATTCAGAGCCACAAAGGACCTTAGAACTTAATCTAGTTTAAACACCCTATTTTACAGCCAAGACACTGAGGCACCGTAAGACTTTGATCTCACATGCCATTTAGTGATGAGGTATTTAATTAGAGAGCTCTGTTCTTTTCCGAAATTGTGGTACTTTGCTACATCTTAAGCTAGAGACAGCCAGGTGGCTCACTGGATAAAGTACCAGAAGACCTGAATTCAAATCTGGGACCTAAGCAGGTTCTGTGACCTGAGCAGGTCACTTAAGGGCTGTCTGCCTCAGTTTCTTCATCTGTAAAATGGGGCTAGTATTAGCAGGTAGGTGTTAATACTAGCAGCTAGGTGGCATAGCAGATAAAGCGCCAGCCCTATAGTCAGGAGGACCTGAGTTCAAATCCAATCTTAGATCCTTACTAGTTGGGTATCCCTGGGCAAGTGACTTAATCTTATTTGCCTCAGTTTCCTCACCTGTAAAATGAGCTGGAGAAAGACATGGCAAACCACTCCAGTATCTTTACCAAGAAAACCCCAGATGAGGATAGGAGAACTGGACATGACTAAGCACAGCAGAAGGTGAATTTGAGTAGAAGCGAGTGTGTGAATACTGAAATGGAAAGGTAAGTGGGAGCCGAGCTGTTTTGTGTCTGCCAAGAGAACCCAAAACTGGGTCATGAAGAGTTGGACACAGCTGAAACAAGGCAACAACAGAAAGGTGGGTGGGAGCCAGGCTGTCGAGGGTTTTGAATACCAGGCTGAGGACATGATGTTTTCTCCTAGAGGTAAAACCGAGTGCACAGCGCCTGCTAATCTGAATAAGTATTTGCTCATTATCAAGGTGTTGATCGGAGATCTTGGAGTAGAGGTGATCAGGCGAGATCCTAGGAAGGGAAATTAATTTGGCAACTGTATGGAGGGGGGATCAAAGAAGAGAGGCTGCAGGTAGAAGTTCAATTTGGAAGTTCTTCTAATAGGTCAAATGAGAAGTGACCAGGGTCTAAATTCCAGCCCTAAGGCTATGACTCTGTGTGTAACGTGGGCGTGGGGCATGTCCAGATCACCCAAGATGGCAGCGTCCATGTGGAAGATGGCAGAGACCTGTTTCTAGGAGAAGATATGTCACAGTTTCCCTACGCCATGGAGGGGAGCAGCCTTTTCCACTGACTGTGGAGCCAGAACAGGCTGTGTCTAAAACTACCAAGCTGGGGCAGTCTCTGTCTCTATCTGTATCTCTCTATCTGTTGTGTGTGTGTGTGTGTGTGTGTGTGTGTGTGTGTGTCCGTCTGTCTGTCTCTGCATCCAGAAGGGGGAAGATCCTATTCATTCTTACCATGGGCTTCACGAACAAAGCTGAGTCGGGACAAGGATCACCTCTCCCCTTCTCCCCTTACACCCCATGGCCTTAAGAATTGGATTCGGGGTTTTAGCCTGCTTTGTTTGTCCTCCTCAGTTCTGGGCCAGATGGTAGGGTCCCTGGGCCTGAAAGCTTAAGCCATGGCAACCTTGGAGGCAAGATTCCAGGCCACATGCTGTTGCCAGCCCAGAAGAAAAGTCCTGAGAAGGCTTTGTGGGATCAAAGCTGGGAGTGAGGGGAGTGCTTCAGATGTGGAACCTGATGGGATCATGCTGTATAGAACATTAGCCATCCCAAAGACTGAGGTTGTGTAAAGGGGGTTTATGCCCTGACATGTTGAATGGGGGGCCTGTTTTGTTTATACTGAGTGTGCTTTGAAGTAAACTTTATTTTGTAAAAGCTCATCTGATTGTTAAGTGGTTTCATAGAACCAGAGTGCAGGAAACCCTCTGAAATTAAGGGAATATAATTGACAGAGGCTTGAGCCAATGGCAAAGACTATATACCCCCTAAGTCCCTCTAATGGGTACCAGAGACTCCTGGGGGACGGCGGGGTCAAACGTAGCATACATGACTTCTGGGCAGTGGGGAACCAGGGTTATCACTGTTAGGTGCAGATTAGGGTGGTCGTGATGTGACAGGAGAGAAGAGGACAGATGCAAGAGACATGGGGGAGGTGGCATCAGAAAAGTAACTCGATTTAAAATGAAAAGAAAAGGTCAACAGCTTCCCCATACCCATGCTAGAACAGAAAACCACTCTTTGGGTGAACACATTTGAGAAATTCTAAATCCTAATATCTGTGCTCCTGGCATGGCACTAACTCCACTATGGAGGAAGAAAAGACGTTTCATGTGCATTCAAGATGCCAAATAGAGGCCTTAGGAAATAAGTATTATCATGACTAACGTTTCCACGAATTTTCTGACTGTGGAGAGACTGAGAGAGTCCCTGAAGGAACTTTTTCAAGCCATGAAAAGTCATCCCTTTGCCTGAAAGCTTTCCTACTGCTGGTCCACAATACCATGAAGGTACCAGGGAAAGTCAAGGCCAGCTTGAAAATTCCCACATGTACATACATGTCTCTCATGTGGCATTACCCTGATTTATACTTTTAAAAAAACTCTTAAGTATTACTTTGACAAAAAAGGGATCATAGAATCATAGTTCTAAGTCTGGAAGGGGCCGTAATGGCCATCAATGGAGGCCAGTGATGGAGGACCCAGGTCGTGACACCTCGGTCAGCCCTTTCCACTGCACCATACTGCCTCATGAACCTAGAGTACCCTTCCTTTTGGAAAGCAAGCTTTACCAGGTGCCATCTGAACAACACCATTTCATAATCACAGGCACCTGAAAGGAGATGCCATGGCAGCAAGCACAAGTGGGAAGAATGAAGCCTCCGGCGGGATGCCGTCATTTCAAGGCTGGCCGGTTTTTCCAGGGGTTTTGTGAGGGTCCTAGTCAACCAACAACAAAAGAACCTTGGGTTCTCCCTCAAAGCTGCCACTGCTGCTGCGGGCAACCCCAGGGCCAGAACTACATGTCGGCCTGAATCACAAGTGTTTCTCATCCACAACTACCCCTGCCATTTCCCTTGGGTTTCCAGGGGAGCGAGGGCTTTTCATCCGAGGACTGACCCGGCTCGACACAGACAAGTCTGAGAGAGGCCAGACTGCTGCCTGCCGTGGGTGCAGGCCAGCCAGGGAGCCCTGCATTGTAAGAGAGTGGAATAAACTTGGCAAGGGAGCTAGGATGGCCCCTGAAAGAGGGAAGCTGGAGGGGGAAGAAAGGAGTCGAACACCTGGTATCTGCTTTCCTCAAAGGAGATGCAGCCTATTAAAATTCCCAACTGAGAGAGAGAGAGAGACAGAGACAGAGACAGAGACGGAGGGAGGGAGGGAGGGAGAGAGAGAGAGAGAGAGAGAGAGAGAGAGAGAGAGAGAGAGAGAGAGAGAGAGAG